CCCCGGTGAAAACGACTTCGTAATAAATCAACAAAGCAATATTATATGAAATCGACATAATTAATGCATGTGTAATTTCGAGAGCGAAAATTAGCATACTGATGTGCATGTAATCTCGAATGCGAATATTTGTTCTACAAATGAAAAAAATGTGAGAGCGTACCTCTGTAAATAAACGACCGTGTGTCTTGTTGTTGTTTTTTTCTACTGTTTTGCAAATATATGAACATGCAAATTAATAACATTCTTGATAAAATGCTTCGTCTTTCAAACGAAGAGATTGTCACTTGCACATACGCGAGATTTGTCTCCTAACCGACGGTAACAAAGCGCACTAAAAACGCAAACGCTCGTGCACGCTTTGGCCGTTCGCCATTTGCGCAGCTGACGATTTCCCCCGCTTTAATATCATTCAATGATTTTGTGATGTGTTTGTTAGCGGCGAAGGTAACACATTATAGGCATTTAATTAAGCTCGCATTCAGACAACATTACGAAATTTATATGAGATATACAAATAAGAAACAACGCTGCCCTTTGCGAAGATCTTCGGCTTCAAATATATAGACATTTGCACTATAGCTATCGGTGCGTATAATGGGATCTCTACCTGATTGTGTTTGCATGCTAAAAGCAGTATCAACTGAAAACATTTAGTATTTCTCTAAAGGAACGGTGTGTGTTCTTTGAAGTGCTCAGAACGTCTCCATGGAGTCGATTCTAAGGACCTCGTATTTCCGCTTGTAGACAGCTGGTAATCGATAGACAACCACAGTGTAGTCCATGTAAGATGATTAGCTTTTTTTATTCCCAGACACAGATTATTGTCCAAATATATACATACAATCTCTGACAGTATGTTTGTACTGAAAATCGAAGTATAGTCTTGAAGAACGATAAGCGAATGCTGTGACTACTAATAACTTGGGATCACGTTATTCTTTTAACCTAGGTATGAAACACAAGCTGATAGTTTACATTTGGCTGTACAGTAGACGTTATAACAAACTAGCGTAATTTAGCACAGGATTCCACAGCGTAATTACAGGAAATTATAACTTCGCTGTTTTTCGCAATATAAAACTGTTAAAGAATCAACACTAATTTAAATGCTGTTACAGTATTATTTCCTTTCGAAATTATATTTTGCAAAGGTTTCAAAAAGTGTTCAAAAAACTGGAACGTGATAATTCATCCAATAATTAAGTGACTGAAATTACTACGTTAGACTCGCAAGTAAAATTGAAAACGTAATGATTTCTCACGGCATACGTTCATTCGGTAAAACGATAATAATTGACACTCTCTACTGCAAAGTCCATTATTACCAAACAGTGTTGAATCGTTGAATACCTACATATGTATAGTTGCTGTATTTTCGCGAATGTGTCTAGTTTGTATACTTATAGTTTATGTGATATATATAAACAACTTAATGTGTGTCTCTCGCGCTTTCATGGCAATATTCTTTTTGATTTTGACAAATTAAAAATCGTGTGTTGGTCAATTGATGGTATAAAATGATAATAAATAGGTAATAAGCACATCTTGAGAAAAGTAACAAATAATATTAATATATTTGAAAGAGTCTAAACTATGTCAATTTAGAATAATTATTAACAATTACATAATTGATTATGATTATTTATAGTTATTGATAATCCCGATTGATAGATCTTAAATTCAAGGTCATACGTCACTGAAAACGAAATATACACAGTCCCCGTGTAATACAATTGACAAATGATATACATCAACAATGCTGCAGAATATGGTCAAATCCGTTGTCCGTGTAGAATAGCCATAGCAATGAAAACATTTTCAAGTTTCATTTTAACCGACATTTTGTACAAGACGCTTAGAGATTTCATATAAAAACACGTTTACTGGAATTAGGGAGGAGATTGAAATCAAAACTGGAATATATTATTGTGACTATGGCTATTATTTTCGGAAATTGCAAATCTTGAAACATTGTTTCTTTATTTGGATTTTAACCTAAAGGACCATCTTATAATGCAGTCCCATGGCAGACAGTGAAATGTGAAAAGAGAGCATTGCTCAATTACACATAATGCACGAGAGAAAAACAAAATACTATTCGTCCCATCAAGTGCGTTTAACCAGTTTGTGCGTCATACAATGGTAAACTGTATTTAAACATGGTAGGATGCATATAGAATAAAACAAATAGAATAGTAAATCATATTAGTAACCCTGTTATGTTCACTAAACGTCAAATTTACACAAAATATTACGATATTATCAAAGTAAAAAGCACTACGGGCATTCTTACAATGAGACATTGCAGATAAATTAGGTATCCACCGCTTGATGTAATAATCACATTTAATATGACATGTAGTCATTTCTATGTCTATGCATGAAGTGCACACATCATGTACATTTCAATTGTATGTGTATTTCGTCGGAATCGTGTAAGTGATAGGCTTGTCGTTGTGTTCGCCAGTAATTGCTTGACCCATAGGTGATGTTTCACGTGACAATAGCATATGATTACATACTTACTAGAAAGACTAAGTTGTTGTCGACGTCTCTCTCTATATATATGCAGTATCTCACATCAATAGCGCCAATAGGTTCTTTGCATTTATAAAATCACGTTTTCAAACTGAGGCCAAATGAAATAGGAATTCCAATTTCTAATTTGATTTTATTGACATTGACGAGACATTAGTTTGTTATGTAGGTATATATTGATACAAGTGTCTGCGTTTATGGCAACATTCAGGCATTATAACACACAGTGGATTGCCTAACGGTTTCCTTTTTCAGTACATGAAAGTGCAAAATAGACTGGACGAATATGTACACTGACTAAGAGAAGCGCATTAAGTGACGCATTACATGATAGGCTGTAGTAAGCATTGATTCGAATTCCACCACCAACATGTCTTTGCGTAATCAACATGTCTTTGCGTAATTCTGTTTCTCTTCAATGTAAACATTTATTATATTATATTTTGCCGATCCATCAATACATACACAGATCCTGTGAAGTATGATAACGTTACGATATAGGCAGTACGAAGAGAATGATACGTGGACCCTTTTTTTAACTGGCTATACTAGTCGATTGTCTTCCTCCCACAACCACATGTATAATTTCTATTCCTGAGATTATTTGGAAATGAAGAACTGAATTGAACAGAACCAACTGATTATTATTCTGATTATCCCATCTAATCACAGAATCACACTGTAACATACGGCACAGTAATCACATTGTCTCCCTGTGGTTGTGATCCTGAGTTCAGTTGAAAACCATCTCTGATCTAGCCGACGAGTGTAGAAGGTGAAAGTGCTAATGCAAATTGCTTTTTGTAGAGTAATTGTATGCCAGGAAATATTACGACAAATACAGCGCAATGATTAGTTTAAAATAACTTCTAATAAAAACCTTCTAAAACACAGCCGATATATCCATGTGGCATTAAATATAACTCTTTCTTTCAGCTGAATTAGATTACTATTTCAACTGTACTACGCATACAAAATACACATGAGCTGATTTAATTTGTTCTCTTGTTTGGCTTTTTTTTTCTATTTTTTCAACTCAAAGAATGCTGAAGTGTAGTATAATACCCATGGTACGTGGGCGAGCAGATCTCGACGTTTCACGTGAGAGCATATCGAATAACTGTCGATGTCAGCAAATTCTTCAGCATCCTGGTTTCATATTACAAACTCCCGGGAGTTAATAGATAACAGTAACACATAGAATTGAAAACAAAAAGCTATCAAAGCTATGTGTAAAGCTAAATAATGTGTAACGGATCAGGATTCGCTTAACAACTTTGTGTATAATAAAAAGAACATATTTTACCGTAGATGTTATAAATTAGGGTATACATTATCGAAGATTTTGTTTCAAATTTATAGGAACAGTGCTCCAATGCTAATTAGCTTAGAAAAATATAGGCTCAAACTAGAGACTGCTATGCCAAAATATTATTGCCTTGCAGTACATCTTTATCTTTACCTATGATTTGTAATGCAGATTTTACCATTGGTTATGTGAAATTGAGGCGTTTGACTGTTTGATGGTGACATACTAAAATACTCAACACGCGTCATATGCCACAGACATCTCCTCATGGGTTTACGCGAGTGTGATAATCTATTCAAGTGTGTATATGGAAAATATCAGTAAATTAATAATGCAATAACAGTTGTATCTCCTCTAAATTGGTTCTTTGCAAAATTGCAATGTGTACACCAGATCGTTCCGCTCTTATGGTTTCACTCATTCGCGCTGATTTCCCTCGACACTCTTCAAAATTTGTTAGATTCAAAAAAAAAACTAAAGGTCAATTTCCATCAAAGATGTGTTGCATTGCGTATAGAACAGTCGCATATAGTGGGTAATTGCAGGTAACGTGGCGTTTAGTATGTGCTAGAGAAGTCAGCAAATCACCAGCCATACCTACAGATCATTCTCATTGAAGTGAGCGGAGAGTTAAAATTAATGGACTCTGTCGAGAATTAGGAATCACAGAGTTTATATACGAGTTTACGATGGTCTGGAAATCCACATTGTTAATAAAGTCGGCTCTATCTGCAATTGTTAAGGCTTATTCGTAAGTAAGTGTGATTCAATTAACATTGAGGATGTGGGTAAGTTCAAAGCAGATTGTTCCTTTGTGTTTGTATCTATAAATAACATGAACAAAATATGCTATTTGGACGAATTTCTGTAAAATGTACGTTATTGGCACTTATATCTGCACATCGTTTCATTATTTTTTTTTTGCACCATCTCAACCATTGACTAAATTACTGCTAAAGAGGTGCTTTGTGTATTTTTTTTTTGTGTTTTTTTTTTATATATTTTTTATCAAACAAGTAGGGTTGCTTTTAAAACAATCCAAACATGAGATAGAATGAGTAAAATACAAACATGGTGTGCCACGTGTTGACACTACGAATGACTGACGGATTACAGCAAATTGGGTTGAATGAAAATAACTCGCACTCACCACAACGACTATTTCAAATCCATCGATTTCAGAATCACCCAAAGTGGGCGCGGTGAACAAAAACAGGATAAAATAAGCCGAACATGCTGCGAAAGTATTCCCGTCCATTCTCAGACAATTGTTATTTTTTTCAGAACAGGATCTCAGGTATCAATCAAGCCGGAACATCACATCTTGAAGCGAGATGCGTTCCCGCGAGTTACCTTACAAATGTTCGTATGTCACGTGATTGATGCTAGCCTCCTTTACAGTCCACTTGTCGACGTCACTGTTGGTGGATATCTCTAACCTCTTTAAAACCTCTTATATCGAGCACTACATACACAATATGCTGAAACTGTGCTTATCAATCGGGAGGCTTTTCAAGAATACATCGCCAAAAGAGGGCGGTAATTTAGACAACAGTAAAAACTGAATGACACATAGAGGGCGCCATTCAAGAGGACAAGCATAGTATGTACATTTGTCCCGCAATAATGTACTCGCGTCTGAAGAGAAATTATTATTTTTTTCAGAATTTTAATATGGGATATCCTAGCCTGACCTGGCAATACTAACAGTATTAACAACAGGGGTTTATTTGGTGAAGACTTCAAAGGCATTTTAATTCTGACAGTATAGAAAGCAAATGACATCATCGCGACATTTAAGAAAGTCTGGAACAATTATTCTCGAGTAATTAATAAATAGTTTGAATAAATATTTACAGAGGAGATGTAGGGAGGGGATGCAAAGAGACATTTTGTAATGTTTTGTATGTCGCGTCTTTGACGTTTTTACTGTTATGTGAACATTATTAGAAAATAAAATTTTATTTGAAGAAAAAAAAAGACAGAGAGAAAGTGGGGAGGCGGATGAAGAGAGTATATGCAGAGAGGAGATGCACAAACGTTATCTAAGGAGAGGATGCAGAGGAGATTCAGAAATGGGATGCAGAGAAGGGTGAAAGAAGGGAATACAGAGAGGAGATGCAAAGAGAAGGTGCAGAGAGGGAATGCAAAGAGAAGATGAAGTGAGAGGATGCAGAGAGGGAATGAAAAGAGAAGATGCAGAGAAAAGCTGCACAGAGGGGATACAGAAATGGGGTGCAGCGATGGAGTTCAAAGAGAAGATGCAGAAAGGGGTGCAAAGAGAAGATGCAGAGAAAAAATGCAGAGAATAGATGAAGAATGGGGGTGCATCAACGGAGTCCAGAAAGATGCAGAGAGGGGACGTAGAGAGGAAATGCAGAGAAAGAATGCAGGAAGGGATGAAGAGGAAGGGTGCAGGGAAGAGGTACAGAGGGGGTGCAGAGAGGGGATATAGAAAAGAGACACAGAGAGTAGATGAAGAGAGAGGATGTAAAGAGAGATATAGAAAGGATGTGCATGAAGGAGATGCAGAAAGGGAATGATGAGAGGGGATGCAGAGAGAGCAGATGTAGAAAGTGAATGCAAAGTGAAGGTACAGAGAGAAGATGCAGTGAATGGGTGAAGAGGGGATGCAGCAACTTAGTCAAGTAATACCAAGAGAGGGAATGTAGAGAGAATGCATGAAGGAGTTGAATGCACAGAGGGGGCACAGAGAGGAGATGCACAGAGATGATTTAGAGAAGGACATATAGAGCATATGCATGGAGAAGATGTAAAGGTAAGATGTAGAAAGGGAATGCATGGAGGAGATGTAGAGAGGAAATGCAGAAAGTGATGCAGGGGGAAGATGCAGAATGGGGATACAGAAGCGAAGAGTTAATGTAGAGAGGGATTTAGAGAGGGTAAGCATGGGGAGATGCAGAGAGAATGTGGAGAGGGGATGTAGAAAGTGAATGCATGGAGAAGTTCCAGAAAAGGAATGCTGAGAGTGGATGCAGAGAGGAGATACAAAGGATAGATGCTGAGAGGTGATAGAGAGGAGAAGTAGGGAGGGAATGCAGAGACTGAATGCAGGAAGAGATGCAGAGGAAGATGCAGATCTAGAGAGATGTTGTAGAGAGGGATGTAGAGACGGTAAGCATGGGGGTGCAGAGACAGGATGTAGGCATATTCCGTTCAGGCATATTCTGGTTCTTGGTATTTACAACACTAAGTACATCATGTCTATCCCTCCAATTCGTAGATTCATTTACTATGGTGGGTGGGTAGTGTCAGAACTTATCGGTCCCTGTAATTACAGCTTCATGTAACAGTAACTGGCTTCTAATAGAGCATATACAGTAGAAAATTCTCATAGTATTGGTAAACCTCATAGTATCGGAGTAATTACATACACTTCAGCGTTCTAGTTCATGAAAAAAATCTTTGGTTTGGAAATTAATGGGGATGTAACTGTGACACCGCTGTGCACCATACCTTTTACATGAACATACTTAGCAATAAATCATATGCTGACGTGCCATTCATCCATCCATACATCTATTTAATTTTACACCTACCAGCAACATTTTCAACATCTATAGAATTAAAAGATAAAAATGAAACTAGTATATTATTTGGCCAAAATTTATTAATCATTAAAAAAAATGTTGGTGTTATTGCTTCCTCTCATCATTATTAACACACAAGAGAATTTACCCACAATCCATCAGAAGTTTACATGGAATTGGATAAGGTGATGATAAAATAAAAATGATTTTAACTGCGAATTGAAAATCTCTGGTCACATGACACATTGTAGTGACATGGTAGTAGCATAGGTAATTAGGTAAACAATTAATACTATTGTTAGTCAATATAGTCTAAGACTGGCAATATCTGCTGTGGAGACAAAGAATCACAGAAATTAAGCTGATCTTCCATCAAATTTGTTTATACTATATTTATAATTCAAAATTTCACTCATTATGCAGATTGTAAAATCCATCCTACTAGTTAATCACATATTCACATTTAAAATGTAGGGGTTACATACCCGAAAAAACTAATTTTCATTTCAGCAAAAAAAAGTTATGTGTAATTTTGCCTTAGCATTAGATGGATTGCAAAAATACTCACAAAATTGTGAATAATACATTACATAAGTTATGTTAACAAGACAAGTTTATGTTGTGCATGTATGAATGGCTACACTCTAAAAATACTGAAATATAATCTACTGGTAGATTCCAATCTATTATTGTTTTAATAAAGCTTAATACCCACTGTTGTACTCCCATGATGCATCTGACTTACTTGAACAATAGGGTGAAATCCTATCTGCTTATAAGACAAATCTATGAAAAAGGGTGTACACCCAGACTACCATGTACATGTTCAAGTTGATTGGTCTTTTAAATATTCTAATGTTAATTTGAGGAATACTGTAGAATACTTTATTTTCGCTTGGAATTTATTTTCGCTATTTTCGCTGAAGGAATAATTCTGTGAAAATAAAATCCACCGAATATACTTTTTTTCCAAAAAGCCTTTTCAGCGAAAATTAATTCCAGCGAAAATAAAGTATTCCACAGTATTACCAAAACAGAAAAGATTTTTATGAAATGCAACATCTGAAATTTATTGCCCATGTGACCATGCTGTCCAATGAATCTACTCAAAAGAAAATATTTTCTTGCTTGCAAACATTAAAAGTACACAAAGAAACAATGTTGAAAGATTGAAAAACATTTCGGGTTGTTGATAGACCATTTTCTGCTCATTGTGAAATCCTGCATTAAAAGCATAAAGTGAATGAAAACAAAACAAAAAAGGGTAGTAGTCATAGCATAGCAGTGATGTCAAAACATCGCATGGAATTCAACAAATGCGAAAATATTTTTGGGGTAATTCTACGCTTAACAATAATAATAATGCTATAAATATTTGATGATGGTCAACTTTAGTAAGGATATCTCAATGCAGTATTTCCCTCTCAAAAATCAACATTTCCATATTGAGTTATAAAAAAAGAATTCAAAATCAAATCGTTTTATTTTTGAGGCAAACATTCAGACCCTCACAGAATACACAAGATATTGCAGTGAAGAGAAATGCACACAAAATAAAAATGAAGATATGTGTTTACTTCAGCAGTGAGATGTATATGTATATGATTGTAGAGAAAAACTTCAAAGTATTAAAGTGCTTTTAGAAAATGGTGATGATGATATATATCAAAATTAAGTTGCGCACATACAATGTACAAGTATAAACCACAACTTCATAACTTTTCCAAATTATGGTACAGATTTTTGCACGTTTTTACGTATTTCTCTATAATTTCACCATTATTGGGACCAGATAGACATAAGTTCACAACAGCTACAGATCTTGATAAAAATATTCTAAAATTATGAAAAAAAAACGGGTTTGATACATGTAGTGTGTGAAGGTGGCAAGAATTGACTTTGGTGTTTAAAAGTTTAATAATTTAGCATTACCCTGAGATCTACGCATAACCTTTCCGCATTGATCTAAACACACAGTGCTAACACATTGAAGTTAAAATTTAAAATGGCCATTAGACAATAAAAACAATGAACAAAAATAAAAATGAATTACAGCTTCAACCACTGAACAGTGAAAGAACAACCATTAGACAATGAACAATTAAAAGAATGGGTGTTAAACAATGGGGTATGGGAAATAGAAACAAATGGATTTTGACACTGAACAATTTGAAATAAAATAATGGGTCATAACAAATTAGAAACAAAACAGTACAATGTATGTTATCGACATACTAATCGGTCACAATTGATATATAAAAACATGGTTACAGACATATATAATTATGAC